TTTTTGAGACAGGGTCTCCCTGTAGCCCCAGCTGACCTGGAACTTGCTATGTAGACCAGGCCGGCCTTGAACTCACAGAGATCTGCCTGCCTCTGCCTCCCACGTGCTGGGATTAAAGGTGAGTACCAAGCATGCCATGCAGCTGTCTTTTCACTCCTCCCTTCCCTCCTACAGCTGAGTACAGTGCAGTGCTCTGTACCTATCTTGTGTTGGGGATGCTTATTTATGTTCTGGAGTGAGGGTGTAGAGATATAAGTCTCAGAAACAAATGTTGCTTAAGTGTGTGGACTTGAGTCTTTGAGTTCCAAGAAGGGCAGGTAGTGAGGGAATGGGCTGCTTGTGAGCTGTGAAGGTAAACCAGTGGCAGACTGCCCCTCAGCTTGCTTGGACAGTTTCCCTTTGCCTGCAGTCCTGATCCTGCCCATTCCTATCAGGGTCACCCTTTCTCTGGAATTCCCCTTTACAGAAACCTCAGTGTAAAGTCTGCCGGTCTTGCCCTGTGGTAAAGTCCTCCCAGCATCTGTTTCTGGACCTGCCTAAGGTAAGTTAGTCTTTCTCTCAACCTGGTCTTCAGGAGGCTTTTCAACTCCTTCTTCTTCTGCCTCAGCCATATATACTACATACTGATAGCCAACCACTCTTATATTCTTTTTTTAATTTTATTTTTAGGTGTGTGCTGCCACAATTGACTTTTTAAAAAATTTTTATTGTGTCTGAGTGTATGCTCTGTGTGTGTGTATGTGTGTGTGCACATGTGCACGCATATACATAGTATGGGATGTGCATGGAGATCAAAGGACAACTTGCAGGAGTCTGTTTAGTCCTTCTACCATTTGAGTCCTAGGGATAGAAGTCAGGTTGTCAGGCTTGGTGATAAGCTTCTTTAGAACCATCTTGCCCAGCCCCACATTAACATTTTTAAAGACTGCAGATGGGGGGTAGGGGGAGATCACTCAGTGGTTAAGAGCACTGGCTGCTCTTGCAGAGGACCCAGGTTCAGTTCCCAGCACCCACATGGTGGCTAACATTTGCCCATAACTCCAGTTCCACAGGATCTGACTCCCTCTTCTGACCTCCTCAGGCATTGCACAACAGAGGTGCACTTACACAAATGCAGGCAATACAATCAAGCACATAAAATAAAAATAATAATGAAAAAAAAAAGAATGCAGGTCCCAGATCCTAACCCTTTTATCATATAGACTGTTTCTCATTTTGGATTTCTTAGTTATTTCCTCATGATAGGATCCTTATGCATCCTTGGATGGAATCCTCAGAAAGGATGTTATATCCTTTCCAGGGACAAATACTGGCCATCTGCTGCTCATTGATGATGTTAATTTTTCTTAGTCAAGAGTTATTCAGGGCTGGGGATGTGGCTCAGTCAGTAAGAACCTGAATTCAACCCCCAGAGTCCATGAAAGAATGCTGGGCTGACGTATGCATTTGTTAATCCCAGCACTGGGGTGGTAGAGACGGAAGATCCCTGGGGCTCACTGACAGACCAGTCTAGCCTGATTGGTGTATTTCAGGCCAGTGAGAACCCATGTCTCAAAGGAGATGGACACCTGAGTTTGTCCTCCAGCCTCCACACATGCATGCACACACTTGCACATGAACACACATGTCCATATGCAAACATATAATAAGCAATCAAGGGTCTGGAGAGATGGCTCAGGCTCCATGATTAAAAGCACTTGCTGAGGGTTAGGGTTAGGGTTTGGAGGTTGGGTTAGGAGGTTTGGGGGCTTTGGTTTCAGGGTTCAGGGTTTTAGGGTTGGATTTGGGGTTAAAGGTGGTTTAGGGTTAAGGTTGGTGTTAGGGTTAAAAGGGGTTGAGATTAGGGTTTAGGATTATGGTTAAAAAAACAATACAAAATAAAAACAAGACAAAAGCATGTGCTGCTCTTGTAGAGGATCCGGGTTCAATTCCCTCATACCCATATTATGGCTCACATAATGGGGGTTTGGGGGGTTCTTGCTATAGAGCCTAGGCTGTGATGGAATTTGGGATCCTCTTACCTCAGCCTCCAGTGTTGAATTACAGGTGTATGTCACCACATTCCTCTTGTATGCAGTATTTTTTAAAATTGTATTATTTTTATTTTATGTGTATGAGTGTATTGCCTGCAAGTATGTAAGTGCACCTGTGTCTTGCACTGCCCTTGGAGGTCAGAAGAGAGCATTAGATCCCCTGGAACTAGAGTTACAGACAAATGTTAGCTGCCATGTGGGTGTTGGGATTTGAACCCGGGTCCTCCGCATGAGTAGCCAGTGCTCTTAACCACAAAGCCATCTCTCTAGCTCCTGTATTTAGTGTTTTAAAAAATTATTTATTTTTAGCTGGACATGGTGGCGCACGCCTTTAATCCCAGCACTTGGGAGGAGGCAGAGGCAGGCAAAATCTCTCTAAGTTCAAGACCAGTGCAGTCTACATAGTGAGTTCCAGGCCAGCTGGGACTACAGTGAGATCCTGTCTCAGAAAGACCAAAAAAAAAAAAAAAAAAATTATAATTTTATGTTTATGAATATTTTTTCCTGCATGTATTTAAGTGCACCATATGCATGCAGTGCCCACAGAGGCCAGAAGGTGGCATTGAATCCCTTGGAACTGGCCTTAAACTAAGATGGTTGTGAGCTCTCCATGTGGTTGCTGGGAATCAAACCTAGGTCCTTTCCAAGAGCAACCAGTGCTCTTAACCATTTTCTCCAGCCATCTCTCCAGCCCTATATTTAGTATTTTAGATAGACATTTATGGTATAAAAAGTGGAAATTCTCCATACTTGAGAATAAGCACTAATAAACATTTCCTGTCAAGATATTTTTCTTCTCTATATTAATCTGTGTATTATTTCTTGTTACAGGATTATGTTTGTGAGTTGCCTTGATTAATGTATCATGTATCTTGGAGATCTTTTGTTGTTTGATATATGTAGATCTTTTTTTTTCTTTTTTCCAGCCTCATTCTTTTTTAATGACTTTATGATATTTTGTTGTATTTCATACACTTCATATCATATTGGATCATGGGGATTATTATTTCGAGACAGAGTCTCACAGTGTAGCTCTGGCTGACCTGGAACTTATAGAGATCCACTCCCCTCTGTTTGGATTAAAGATGTGAATCACCATACCTGCCTGGAACTTATAGAGATCCACCCCTCTCTGTTTGGATTAAAGACGTGGATCACCACACCTGGCAGAATTTATTTTAAAGAATTGTGTCTTTCTGGGCCTGGTGTTCCAAGCTTATAATTCCAGCACTAGGGAAGTGGAAGTAGGAGGATCAGGACTTCAGGGCTATCCTCAGCTACATAGAGAGTTTGAGGTTAAATCAATGATGCCATGACTCAAAAAAGACAAAACACAATAACAACAAAAGGCTGGGTCTTGCTGGGGCACAATGGCCCATGCCTATAATCCCATCTCTTGGCTGGCAAGGGCAGGAAGATTTGAGTATGTGGCTAGTCTGGTGTAGCGTGAGTTCATGATCAACTTGAGCTACATAGTGAGACTTTGTCTCAAAAAACCAAGTGCTTGAGATATACCTCAGTGTTAAGAGTATTTACCTAGTGTGCATAAATCTCTGGAAACTCATAGTTCTCAGCTCTGCCTCCAGAGTGACTGGCATTGTGGCACATGCCATCATAACCAGTTTAGTTTCAATTTTTGCTGTCAGAGACTGCGTTTTGGTATGTACACATCTCGTAGCTTTTTTTTTTTTTTTTTTGAGGCATGTTCTCCCTGTAGCCCCAGCTGTCCTGGAACTAGCTATATAGACCAGGTTGGCCTTGATCTCATAGACATCCGCTTGCCTCTCCTGAGTGCTGGTACTAGAGGCGTGTGCCACCACACCCAGCCTGTAGCTTATTTTTGTTGAATAAATTCATGTTAATAAATTTCAAGGTATAGAATTATGTCCCTAAATTTCTGAATCTGTTAATTATATATTACCAACTCTTGATTCAAAAGCTTGTACTCACTTATTTTTATGCTAACCATTTTTGAAATACTCCTATATCAGCCTTCTGTTTGTGTCATCCTAGCTGGAAAAGCGACTGGAGGAGTGGTTGGGGAAGACATTGCCTGGCAGTGACTGGACACCCAATGCCCGGTTTATTATTCGTTCTTGGCTTCGGGATGGCCTCAAGCCTCGCTGCATAACCAGAGACCTCAAATGGGGAACCCCTGTGCCCTTAGAGGGTTTTGAGGACAAGGTAATATCCTTTAACCTTTTATTCATGCCTTAAACTTTTCAGTCTTAGGATTGAGTTCATGGTCTAGATGATATTATTTCAGCCTGAAACTGTAGGTTGGTTCCTACTATGTTTTCCTCTAGGTATTTTATGTCTGGTTTGATGCCACTATTGGCTACCTGTCCATCACAGCCAACTATACAGACCAATGGGAGAGATGGTGGAAGAATCCAGACCAAGTAAGCATGTCTTGGTTAGCCTGTCTGTGGGGACAAGGTGTGTGGTATTAAGAGTTGGGTTACTGACTTTCTGGGCTTTTTGAAGAAAATCTGGGCAATCTCTTTCTCAACTCTGTTCTCCTAGGTGGACCTTTACCAGTTCATGGCCAAAGACAATGTTCCCTTCCATGGCTTAGTCTTTCCTTGTTCAGCCCTAGGAGCTGAGGACAACTACACCTTAGTCAGGCACCTCATTGCTACAGGTAAGTACCCTGGCAGAGTGCACATGGGATGTTCTTAGAGAACGAGTCCTGAGGCAGTACTTGGAAGGAGATCCTAGAGCGGTGCTAGCTCTTAAATTAGGAGTTGAGATGAAATAGAAAATAAATTTAAAAACATGAGAACTCTACCCTCAGGAGGGGAAAAAAAGAAAGAACTTGACCCAAAACGCCAAAGTCAAAATAGTAGTAAGTATAGAAAGTATAGCAGAGAGAAAAAGGCCAGCAGAATGGATAGCAAGAGGCCCCTGTCCTAGGTAGCTACTCAGAGCAGGATGTTTCCTGGACACACCATTGAGGGAAAGGAAGAGGTGGTAGGAGATAGGGGGAGGAAGGATATGGTTTGAGCAGATGGTTCTCATTCTTCTTTTCTGTCCAGAGTACCTGAACTATGAAGATGGGAAATTCTCTAAGAGCCGGGGGGTGGGAGTGTTTGGAGACATGGCCCAGGACACAGGGATCCCTGCAGACATCTGGCGCTTCTATCTGCTATACATTCGACCCGAGGGCCAGGACAGTGCATTCTCCTGGACAGACATGCTGATCAAGAACAATTCTGAGCTGCTTAACAATCTGGGCAACTTCATCAACAGGTAGGACTTGGTAGAGAGTTTCACGACAGCAGATGAGCTGTGAAGGGGCCATTTCTCGCAGGAGTTTGAAATATAGAGAGAACTAAGTGGGAAGAGGCTGAGGGATGGGGACGGAAAATGGGGGAAGAGGATTGCTACCAATTGGCATTGGCTCCCAGCACACACTATGATGTGTATTCTTGAGGGAATAGTTAATGGTTTGGCAGACTTGGTCACAAAGTGGACCTTTGCATAGTGTTTCCTTATTAAAGTTCTTTGTAAAATTGTGGATGCATTCTAACCTCACAAAGAAAGTTAACCTGCAGATTGCTAAAAACTTTCATTGAAGATGTATTATTTTGGTGCATTGGTAAGATGCTTCTGCACTCTTCAGAATACACTCTGCTGTTGGCCACTGTTCCTGTGACAGCAGTTCTCTAAAGAAATACTTTAAGCCCTGTTGTGGTGGCGCATGCCTTTAATCCCAGCACTTGGGAGGCAGAGGCAGGTGGATCTCTGTGAGTTCCTAGCCTGGTCTCAATAGTGAGTTCCAGGCCAGCTGGGGCTCTGTTTCAAAAAGACCAAAAAAACCCCAAATAATGTTTACTTGTACCTGACCTGGGAGTGGTGGTACACACCTTTAAATGCTGGCGTATCTCTGTGAGATCTACATAGCAAGTTCCAGGCTAGCCAGGGCTTTAGGGAGACAACTTGTCATTTAACACACATTTTGATTTGATCATTCTGAATATTTACTTCAAAAAATATGATGTATAATTGCTTAACTTTATAAGGTTTCTTTATTTGCAGAGTCATACTGTGGAACCCTGGGTGGCATTCAGCTCACAGAGACCCACTTGCCTCTGCCTCCTGAGTGCTGACATTAAAGGCAATGTGCTACCACACCTGGCTTGCAGAATCTTGTTCTTGGGGCGGGGGGTAATAGAATTTAAGCTTTGCCTTTTAGCTTGAGGGGCCAGGAAATGTCATGTTTAGGCAGGAATCCCAAGAGAAGATTTTTAAAAGTTTTTTATGCATATGAGTGTCTGCATGTGCAATGTATACCCATGCATGTAATGCCTACAGAGGCCAGGAGAGGGCGTTAGATCCCTTGGAATTGGAGTTACCAACAGTTGTTAGCCACCATGTAGGTGCTGGGACCCAAGCCCAGGTCCTTTGGAAAAGTAGCCAGTGTTTTAACCACTAAGCCATCTCTCCAGCGCCTACATTTGTATATATTTTTTGTTGGAGGCGGGGGGGGGGGTGGTTGCATGTGAACTCAGACAACCTCTGCGTTTTCTACTGTGGATTCCAGAGATCAAACTCAGGTTGTTGTCAGGCTTGGTGGCAAGTGCCTTTAACTCACTGAGCCATCTCACCAGCTTGAACATGAAGAGCTGTGGAAATAGGGTCAAATTTCCTTAAGGATACTGGGCAATTCACTTTTTTTCCCTACTCCTTCAAGAGCTGGCATGTTTGTGTCTAAGTTTTTTGGGGGCTGTGTGCCCAAGATGGTGCTTACTCCTGATGATCAACGCCTACTGGCCCATATCTCCTTGGAGCTCCAGCACTATCACCAACTGCTGGAAAAGGTTCGGTAAGTAACCTACCTCAGTGTCATCTCAGTGATGTGTTGGTATTGTTAAGTGCCCCCACATACTTTGCCTCCTCCCTTTCTAGGATCCGGGATGCCTTACGCAGTATCCTCACTATATCACGACATGGCAACCAGTACATTCAGGTGAATGAGCCTTGGAAACGGATTAAAGGCAGTGAGGCTGACAGGTGCGTTGACAGGATGGGGCTGGCTATAGGAGTTAAGTGGCACGCTGTCATGGTGTCTTGACAAATCTCTCTTCTTCCTCAGGCAACGGGCAGGCACAGTGACAGGCTTGGCAGTGAACATAGCTGCTTTGCTATCTGTTATGCTACAGCCTTACATGCCCACAGTTAGTGCCACCATCCAGGCCCAGCTACAGCTCCCACTTCAGGCTTGTGGTATCCTTCTCACAAACTTCATTTGTACCTTACCAACAGGGCACCATATTGGCACGGTAGGTCTCAGGGAAGTTGGAAGGGCTGGCCACTTAGTTTGTGTTTCTGCATTGCTGCCTTCGGGGTGAGGTTAGAGATGTAATACTTCTCTGGCTTTGCTTGGGGTATGGATCTACAGCTGTTCTCCGATCTCCTTCCCCATTCTCCTCCCCAGCTGTGCACTTGAGCGTTGCATAAAAGATTCTTGGTATTAGCTGGGCGTGGTGGCGCACGCCTTCAATCTCAGCACTTGGGAGGCAGAGGCAGGTGGATCTCTGTGAGTTCAAGGCCAGCCTGGTCTACATAGTGAGTTCCAGGACAGCTGGGGCTACAGGGAGACCCTGTCTCAAAGAGACCGAAAAAAAAAAACCCCAAAACATTCTTGGTATTGACTTTCAAGTCCAGTATTATCTATATATGCTATTGCTGTTCATGCCAGAAGCCCATAAGTGGCACAAAGGCCAATATAGAAATGTTTGAAGAAGCACCAGGATGTCTCCAGTGTTAGTAGGTAGCAGGCAAGGAATATATGGGATAGCGGTTTTCCTCTCTGACACAAGGTGATACAAACAAGCACATCCTAAACTTCTCCATATACTTAGTATCACTGACTAGCTTTTCTACTCACTAAATACTTGGGGCTTTTTGTAGTGACTGCTGAATTCTTTTCTGAAACTCAGTCATTTGCTCCATGTTATGCTCATATTCCTTCTAAAACATCTAGGATTTCTAAATGTCAGAGTAGAGGACTGGGAAGGTTTTCTGTGTAGTCTGGTAGAGCTTTTCCCTTATCAGTGAATGATTCTGGTTTTGTTTTCACCTTTTCCCTTATCAGTGAATGATTCTGGTTTTGTTTTCACAGGTCAGTCCTCTGTTCCAAAAGTTGGAAAATGACCAGATTGAAAGTTTGAGGCAACGCTTTGGAGGGGGCCAGGTGAGCAATGCCCTCGCCCAGCAGTACCACCTTAATTTCCCCAAGTAGTCCTCCTTCATCTCTTTCCACCTTTGTGGCCTTGCTGCTTCCTCACTTAATAGTTTTTCTTTCCTGTCTTAGCTAGAAGAGTCTTTGGAGTTAAAGGTAATCATTTCCTCTGATAAATAAAACTGGAGACCAGAGATGTTTATGGCAGCCAGTGATAATCCTGTTGTTCTCCAGGCTAAAGTATCCCCCAAGCCAGCAGTAGTAGAGACTGTTACAACAGCCGGGCCACAGCATATACAAATGCTGATGGATGAAGTGACTAAACAGGTATGAAGCAAGCCCTGTGGAGGACTAGAAGTGCTAGTCCTACACAGGTCCTTTCTCACTCTACTCTTCTCTTAGGGCAACGTTGTCCGAGAACTGAAAGCACAAAAGGCAGACAAGAACCAGGTTGCTGCAGAGGTGGCTAAACTCTTGGATCTAAAGAAACAGTTGGCACTAGCTGAGGGGAAACCCATTGAAACTCCTAAAGGCAAGAAGAAAAAGTGAGCAAACTTGTTCATAGAAAGTCAACTTTACTGGATATGGACAGTAATAAAGAATGTACAATGTGTATATATATACTGAGACCCTTTCCTTTGGTCCACCCCAAGTCTTCTCCCTACTACTGAACATCACTGGTGTGATGGTGGTGGAGGTGGCCCAAGTTTGTTCATGCTTGGTGCAGATTTACCATTCGGTCGATCAGAGCTCGGCGCGTAGCCTCTACTTCCCTGGTCAGGTGCTCGATTTCCTCCTTGAGCCGTTTGTTCTCTTCCACTAGCTGTGCCACTTTCCTTTCACTCTCCTGTTCTTTCTCCTTCATGCGTTGCTTTCCAGCCCGGGCTGAGCATTGGCCACTCTGTTTCCGTTTCCTGGTTCTTCCTTGATCTTCTTCCTCTTCCTCCTGAGCCATAGAACTCTGACTGGAATCTGGAGAGCGAGGGCTTTGGGAGGTGCTTGTGACTTCTGCTGGCCCTGGCTCCTCAGTCAGCCAAGCTAGAGATGAGGGGTCAAGAGTAGTGAAGGTTTTTGATTCTTCCTTCAAGGGAGTGGGAAAAGGAAAGCATGTTAATTGAAGACAGAAACATACTCTCCTCACCTCCCCAGTTTTTTAAAAAAAATTTATTTTTAAGCTGGGCATGATGGCGCACACCTTTAATCCCAGCACTTGGGAGGCAGAGACAGGCAGATCTCTGTGAATTCAAGGCCAGCCTGGTCTACATAGTGAGTTCCAGGACAGCTGGGGCTACAGGGAGACCGGTCTCAAAAAGATCAAAAAAAAAAAAAAAAAGATTTTTTTCTAATCATGTATGTGTATATGTCTGTCTGTCTGTGTCTGTGCACATTAATACTGGAGTCCACAGAAGCCAGATGTGTCAGATTCCATGGAGCAGGAATTACAGGTGGTTGTAAGCCACCTGATGTGGGTGCTAAGAATTGAACTCGGGTCCTTTTGAAGAGCAATGTATGCTCTTAACCACTGAGCCATCTCTCTAACCATCCCCTCCCCTTTTTTCTATTGAGACAGGGTTTCATGTAGGCTAGATTCAAACTCACTAAGCAGTTTAGGTTGGCCCTGAACTCTGATCCTCCTGACTCTACTTCTCAAATGCTGGGATTACCACCATACTCAGCTTGCCTGTGTTTGAGGACTAGCATTCTTACCTCTTCATTTCCATGGGGTGAGATATAGGTACCCCCATTTTCATCTGAGGACAGGACCTCCTGCAGGTCCTCATACCAGGCTTCCAGTTCCCAGCTGGACACTGTCTCAAAGGTGAAAGGCAGTGACTCAGCTGCCATTTCTGCAACTGGACCAGGTTCTGGAAAAGTACATACTCAGGATAAAAGCTCCAGTCTACCAAGGTTGACAAATTGATCTGCTGTTCTTATACAGAAAATTGTATTGAAATAGCCACTTCCACTTATACATTTACCATTGCTTTAAGTCTTTAACAGTGGGGACAAATACTGGTGAAAGACTATATAGCTCTAATCATCTAAAGTATTTTACTCTCTGGCCCTTTAAAATTCACCAGTCTCTAGGCCTATGAGATGCCTCAGCAAGCAAGGGTGCTGGCTGCCAAGACTGACAACCCGAGTTCAACCGCTGAATCCACATAGGAGTTTTCCAACTTCTGCAAGTCCTCTGAAATTACATTCTCTACATTTACAGAAAATAAATGTAGGGCTAGGTACATGGCTTAGCAAGTAAAAGTGCCTGCTACTGAGCCCCACAACCTGACCTAAGTTTGACCCTCTCCTACCCCCAACCCACATGATAGAAGTGATTCCCAAAAGTTGTTCAGATGGCATATACACATACACAGGCAATTAAAAATTTTAAATGTAAATAAAATATTCACCAGTCTCTATACTATTTCCTTTTTGTTTTCATTATTTTGGTTGTGCTGGATATTGAACCAGAACCTTGGACATGCTAAGCATACTGTCACAACTTAAGAAGAAAATATTTGGATGTAATTTTATTTTTCCTTTGTGATCTTGTGATCCTGGGAATCAAACCCAGTGCCTCACACACAAATACTGAACTATACCTCTAGCCCAGGCTGAACATACTTTTTATTGAGATAGGGTCTTGCTGTATAACCCAGGCTGTCTTTGAACCTCATGATCTTCCTGCTCTACCATCCAAGTTGGATTACAGGTATGAGCAGCCATGCTTGGCTTTGCATACATATTCTTACAGGATTATAGTGAAAGTATTCAACTCACTTGGGAATTCCATTGGTAATTTCCCAGGGCAATTACTAGGTCATTTGTGCTCCTTTCTCCTAAATGGGGAGCTTGGGCAAAAAGGTCCTTTGGGTTTGTCTAACCTTGGGGTGGACTGGGGATTGGAAAGACAAACCAATTGTTTTTGTTGGGACTGACTTTGAGAGCAAGCTTTTGATTGAGAAATGGTGGGGTCACAGAAAGACAAAAGTTTGACAACAGAAGCTTGCTCACATCAAACCCTCTTCTACCATGGCTAGGTCTTTTAATAACTTCACCAGAATCTCAAGAAAGCAACTCTTTAGGAGTTGGTTTTGGGAAGGGGTTGGTTAAGTTTACCTGCTTTCAGGTGTGGTGATGTATGAAGATACACTTTCTTCTGGAACACTGTGGAGAATATAGGTAAATGTTAACTGTCTTTGAAAGTGGGCAAAGCAAGTTCTTTTTATTTATTTGTTTATTATTTATTTATTTATTGGTCTTTTTGAGACAGGGTTTCCCTGTAGCCCGAGCTGTCCTGGAACTCACTATGTAGACCATGCTGGCCTTGAACTCACAGAGATCCGCCTGCCTCTGCCTCCTGAGTGCTGGGACTACAGGCATGCGCCACCACGCCTGGCTATTATTTTTATGTGTATGCATGTATTGCATGCACGTGGGTAAGTGCAACCGTGTTGTGTAATGCCCGAGGAGGTCAGAAGAGGCTGTCGGATCCCCTGGGACTGGAGTTATGGACAGTTGTTAACTGCCATGTGGGTGCTGGGATTAGAACCCAGGTTTTCTGTAAGAACAACCAGTGTTCTTAACTGCTGAGCCAACTCTCCAGCCCCAGCAAAGCAGGTTTTTTACCTCGAGCTTTTATTGGTCCTTCTCTACTTTTTTGTAGGATGTGTATATGAAGGGCTCGGTACCCAATCCCAAGGACAGAAACAAGCTTGACTTTATTTTTGGTTGCTGACATTTGTAGTGCTGATTACATAATCGCAAAGTCCTGGCCAACTAAGCTTTCCTTTCTCTAAATTAGAGACAGATCTCAAACCTGCCAGGGTTAGGACTAAGCTACAGGGAAGGGAAAATACAGCAGCACTTGATAAAACTCCACTCCCACACTGACATCCAAATGTACATTTCTTTCTTTTTTTGGTCTTTTTGAGACAGGGTCTCTCTGTAGCCTCAGCTGACCTGGAACTCACTATGTAAACCAGGCTGGCTTTGAAGTAACTGATCTGCCTGCCTCTGCCTGGCCAGTGCTGGGATTAAAGGCGTGCACCACCACACCCGGCTCCAAATGTACATTTCTAAAATCTAATCGACGTGCGCTGGTCCTCCAACTCCACTGTCTATTTCTCGTCTCCTGAATGTCTTAAAAGGCATGCAAATTACATTCAAGGACAATCTGCTGATTTTTCCGCTTCAAGCCTGTATCATTCTAAATGGCAGCTCTAGTTGCTTAAGCCAAAAACTTTGGTGTCATTCTTGATTCCTCTTTTACATCCTACAACTCAATTCAATGCTCTAACAACTTTAAAATGTACTTTAAAAGTACTGAGAACCAGGCTGGGCATGGTGGCACATGCCTTTAATCCCAGCACATGGCAGGCAAATCTCTGAGTTCAAGGCCAGCCTGATCTACATAGTGAGTTACATGCCAGCTGGGCTATAGGGAGACCTTGTCTCAAAAAGACGAAAAAAAAAAAGGTACTGAGAACCTAACTTCCAGTATTTCCAAATGTAAATCAACTTACCATCTCTCTCCTCCCCTTTTAAAACTTAGGTCATTTCTCTGCTCAAAACCCTCCAGTGGATGTTTCATGTATATTGAAGATTAACATCCTGAAGATGGCTTGCAAGCACACGTTGTCACCCACTACTTTCTCCTTGCCTGCTGTAGTTCAGGCCACTGTGCTGTTCCTAAAGATACCAGGCAGGCATGCTCCCCTCTTAGGGCCTCTGCTCTGGCTATTTCTCTGGAAACACTAATGTGTGTTACCTGAGTGGCTCAATGGCTTGCCTCCTTGGGGGTTTTTCACTTAAATGTCATCTCAGTGAGGTAATTTCTGACCTGATATAAACAAATCCTCCTCCTAAACGTTTTCTTTGCTTTAGTTTTCTCCATGGCACTTATGTGAAATATAAACTCTAGGAGAGCAGTTTTATCTTCTCCTAATATATCCTAGACCCCCCTAAATGCTTGGCACATAGGTGTTCATTAGGCAGTTTTAAAGCATGAATGGAAAAAAAAATCCACTCCCCAATCTACTTTATAGAGAAGGGAGGATTAAACCCAGAGGTACAGCAGTAGCTGCCTGTCCTTGGGGACTGGAGATGCAATATTGCCCTGAATGTTTCTCTGCTGGGCTGCCCTCTCTGGGGGGAAAACTCCCTTGGTCTTCCAGTGTATGGGACCTGGCTTTCATCAGCAGTGGAGGCCAGGCCTGAGAGAGGGCTGCAGAGCCAAACAGTGGGCTGGCCTGATGCAATGGTTACAGAGATTAGTTGGGAGACAGCACTGAGCAAAGAGTGTGAGGGATCATTCCCCGGAGAAGCACAGTACCCTGGAGAGATCCCAAATAGTTTCCCAAAGTTTAAGCGGTCCACATTGCTCTTGTACGGAGGAGGCCCAGAGACTTCTGGGGAAAAGGGAAAACCCATCTATGCTCCTCCCACCAGCGCCCCCGCTCGCTCTCAAAGGTCAGTTTTAAGGTTCTCTTGAACACTAGGGTCCAGGAGGCTCAGGGTCCAGGCCCCAGCGACTTGAGACAGTTGGGGGTGGAGTTGAACGGGGGGAATGCGGCTGGTGGGAAAGGCGGAAACGGCCGGAGTGGCGACACGGGGGGTGTGTCCTTCTGCCCCGCCTGTCTCTAGACTGGCCTAATGAGATGGTTTGCAGTCCACAACCCGAGAGAACAGAGTCCCTTCGCCTAACGACACAAAGTAGGAACCAACTCTGGATAGGGGAGTGGTGACGCAATCGCCCAAAACAGGAGTGGGCCAGTAAGCACCACTCCTGAATAAAGGATTCCCCACCCTCACCCCTCCCTCAGTCTACAAGTTCAAGGCGAAGGGGGTGGGGCCACTTCCTAAACCGCAGTCGCCCCCAACTTGGGGGAGCAGCCTCTTGGCGAGGATGGGAAAGTAAAGGGTAGACAGAGTTAGTACTCGCCTCTCTCCTCGGGTTCCGGCTCTTATTTTGGCTCTGTCGCTGCCACCCGCTCATCTTCAACATGGTACTCTTATGTATTAGACTCAAGCCACTGACCTCCGGAGCGCAGAGCAATGTTCTTTTACTGTGGTCTTCCCCTCCTCTTAGGGGCAGGGTCCAGAAACCTGCCAATCAGAAAGCGGCACGCTGGCACTGGCTCCACCTCGCCCCGCACATCCGCCATTCAGTAGCCCTGTGGCCCCGCCCCCGTCGCGCCCTCCCCCCCCTTGGGGGGGTCTACGTTGTCTTGGACCCGGAAGTGGCTTTGGGTCACGAGGCTTCGCCGAGGAGGAGGTGAGTGAGTCATGCGCGTGGAGGGGAGTGTGGAAAAGGGAGGGGAGGATGGGGGGCGGGGATGATGCAATGTTTGGCAACCGGTGTCCGTGCGCGCACGCGCAGGGGACAACGAGGGTGGTGGGAGGTGCAGAGGAGGGGTAGGGGGAGAGCAGAGAGGGCGGAGCGCCAGCTCCCAGCACCAACAATCCCAACGGCCAACCTTTCTGAAGCCTGTCTCGCGAAGAGCTGCTGTTCTATCCACCTCCCATTACCCCCGACATACCCCTCCATAAAGAACTCCCGTTTTCTTCGACCCCTCCCAGCTAATGGGCACCTAGGCCCTTGAATCTCTTTAAAGTTTGCATTTGTTCTCCTGGATTGACGACATCTCGAGTCATTTTAAACGGATCTTTTACCCTGCTAATCAAAGGCTGAGGTACTGGAATCTTTAATAGTCTTTTCCCGCTTCTCAGAGGAGCAGCTTTGACATTGATCTTGTTTCCGAGTGGCCCACGGTATGCCAGAATTCGTGTTCGTTGGGAGTGGACCCTAGTATTTCCGCTCTCCAACCCCGTAGTGCTCTTGTGCCCTTCAAGACCAGTATCCTTTCACTCTCCGGGATAGCAAGTCCTGTGACTCCCTGCTGAGGAGCTGGCCTCTTGCCTCCTAGATGTCTGAGGTCGTGACCTATAGTAGAGCCTGGGACGTGCGTGCACTTGAGCGCATGACTACCCTGGACTGGGTTATCAGAGGGAAGCCAAATTCCCAGCCTCTTTTGCCCAAGGATCCTACCACACGCATTTGTAAATTGAAGAGCGAAATGTTGAAGATAAAATGAGAGCCCCTGGAACTTGGAGGCAACTTGAACAAAAGTAAAAATACCTTGGAACATTCAAAATATTTTTATGCTATGAAAACTGAGGCCATGTGGCCTGGTATGTGCCCTGTCATACTCTCAGGGGCAAGCCAGAGTTTGTCTAAGTAGAAACTGTCCTGAGGCTGGTTGTGACAGGATGGTGCGACAGTGACAGGTCCTTGACCAGACTGATCCTTTGCTCCAGACCTCCATTTCCGCTTCAGTTAATGGAGATGGGGGTGGGTTGAACCAGATGGTCTCTCCTGGCCTAAAGATAGACCAGGTTGTCAGTGACAGGCAGAGGTCATGTGACTTGACAGGCCGAGGTCGTGTTGTGACATGTTGACCTGGGGAGGCGGGTCAAGTCTCTGCACACTACCCACGAAGCCTTTGGGGCGGGGCAGGGCAAGTCGCGACTTTCATCTTTTGGGGCTGGCCCCTCCCGGACTGACATTCCTGGCTCCCCCAACATATTGTGGCTTCGAATGGGGCCCCTCCCCAGGGAGGACTGGGATTGGCCACCAGTGGTCTGGGAAGAGGCGCAGATCCTTCCGCGGAGGGCGGGGGG